TCAACCTAAGAGTAATTTAGTGCAAACCTTGATTTAGTTTAAATCTAAGAATAATTTGGTTTTAACCTGAGGAAAAATCTAGTTCAAACCTTAAGAAATAGTGAAGTTTCAACCTAAGAATGATTTAGTTTCAACCTGAAAATAATTTAGTTTAAACCTAAGAATAATTTGGTTTAAAGTTAAGATAATTAAAACTAAGGATAATTTACTTTAAACATAAGAATGATTAACCTAAGCTTCTCTTTCTCCTTCTCTCTCTCTTCCTCTCTTCTCTCTCTCTCTCTCTCTCTCTCTCTCTCCTCGCTCTCGCTCTCGCATCTCGCCTCTCCGCTCTCGCTCTCGCAACTCGCTCTCGCTCTTCGCTCTCGGGCTCTCGGCTTCGCTGCTCGCTCTCGGGCTCTCGCTCTACTCGCTCTCCCGCCCTCGCCTCTCAATCGCTCCCCCATCTCCTCCCTCTTATAAGGAGGCGAGATAAAATCAGTCCCACTCTCGAAAATAGACCCACTCCTCCGTGTTACAATTAAATACTCTTTTGCCGTTTCTTCTTCGCACAGTGCAACCTCTCTGAAGCCATAACAAGAAGAGAGTATGCATTTATCCCAGAGATCTCCTATTATCCTTTCCTTCTCAATCCCTACGGCACAGGTGGGTAGGTTTCTCTTATCACCGATATACATCCTATCCTCCCTTCCCTTCATCCTACGACAGTGGGTAGGTTTCTCCTTATCCCCGAATATAATCGCCTATATGCCTCCCTTCCCTCAGTCCTACGATAGGCAGGTCCTTTTAATCCCGACCCAATACCTCCTCCTCCAGACCTTACGACAGGCGAACGGACCTTTTATCCCGATCTAAATACTCGCTCCCTCCTTCCATCCTACGTAACAAAGACGAACAGATCGCTTTTTATTCCCGATCTAATACGCTCTTCCTCATCCCCACGACAGGCGGTCGAGGTGTTCAACAGGGACGTGCCTGACCTTACATCTTCGTGGCCACCGTCGAGAGCGTGGTCGTCGACGTCCTGGCTCACCTGCCCACCAAAGGACGCCGTCGCCGCCCTCCTCGTGCCTTTGCTCTGCGGGTCAGAAAAACGCGAGGGTAAAGATCCTTGAGAGATAGGGAAGGAGAGGAGAGGTGAGAGAGCGGAGAGGGAGAAGGGCAAGAGGGAGGGAGTAGCGGAGGGAAAGGGAGAGGAGAGGAGATGGGAGGGGGGAAGGGGAGAGGAGAGGACGGGGGACGGAGAAGGTAGGGAGGGATGGAAGGAGAGAGGGGGAGGGGCGAGGGGAGGAGGAGAGGAGAGGAAAAAGGGAGGGCGAGGGATGTGGGAGCGGGGACAAGGTGGGGGAAACAGGGAGAGGGCAGGGGGAAGGGCGAGTTGGAGGGGAAAGGGAGAGGAAGGAAAAAGGAGAGTGGAGTTGGCAGGGAGATGGAGGAGATGGAAGAGGGAAGGCGGATGGAGAGGGAGAGGAAAAAGGAGAGAGAAGCAGGGGCCAGGGAATATGGAGAGGGAGGAAAGAGAGTGAGGGGGGGGAGGGAGAGGGATGGAGAGGAGGAAGGAGAGAGGAGGGGGAGGGGGAGAGGAGGGGGAGGGGGAGAGGGAGGGGAGGGAAGGGGGAGGGAGGGAGAGGAGGGTAGGGGAGAGGGAAGGAGAAGGGGAGCAATGACGAGAGGAGATGGAGGGAGGGAGAGAGAGGAGCGAAGCGGGCAGGGAGCCGGGAGGGAGGGAGATGGAGAGGGAGCAGGGAGGGAGAGATTGGGAGGGCGAAAGTATTAGACCAGATAGATAGAAATGAGAACGAGAGATAAGAGTAGACTAGATATACAGGGAACAAGAAGTTAAGTTATGAGAATAGATAGAGAAGCGTAGAAAGATAGAATTGACTGAAGAATTGAAGAAGATAGATAGAGATGAGGAAGCAGGATGATTAGAGAAGTCTGTAGAAATCATGTCGTTCAAGAAAAAGATAGACGATGGTACTGTTATGGTTTAAGATATTCGAGAAGATGTTGATTCATTTACTGTATGAAGGTAATGGGAAAGGTATATATATATATGTATTACATTACGAACTAGGGAAAAGTAGAAAGCCCTATACATACATGCATACAACATACACAACACACACACACACACACACCATATATAGGTTAATACAAAAAAGTATAATGATAGATATATTATATGAAAAGATATAATAATCATATATATATATAATATATATATCATATATATATAATACGATATATATACACATACCCACACATGGTGTAGAGTATTATATAGATGAGAATATTACTTATCTACTCGAACTGACAAAAAGCGCATCGACAGCTCCTTGCGAGGGACTCTAGCGTCCACGACCCAGCGCCGATGTCTTATGCAAGCCCTACCTGAAAGGGAAGCAACTACCGAGGCACAAGGGCCCGTAGGCCCCTGGGCTCGACGCTGCTTCCGCGTCAGCGTCTACCCGCCAGTTGCCGGTGCCTGGTACCGCCACGTAATACGTGAAGGAATATAACGTCAGTGACAACTAGAGTTCAACGTGTACAAAGAGAACGATTCGCAGGCGAGAGAGAAAGATATAGAGAAAAGTAGCGAAACCCCCTCACGAATCAGCCGAATATTGTAACTATCGAGAAGGTGTGAACTTAGAAGGTGATATCAGGCTTCAAGGGCGTCGCGGCGGGAGAGAGAGAGGACCCCCTGCAACATCAGATGAATCTTAACTTCGAGTGTGACTTAAGTTTATTCTCTTACGAAGTTTTAGAGATCGAAGAAGGGTGGAAGATGTGTCTAAGGGAATAGGTCATTTGAAGGATTTTTTTTTTTTTTTTTTTTTTTTGAGGAGGAGGACGGCACACCATGTCGTAAAGATTATGCAAGTTAGGAGTATTTAATTTGTTTTTTTCGTCTCTTTTTGTAAATTCCTTCTCTTCAGTATTATTTTACGCTACTTACAATACGTCTTTTACTTATAGTTAAGTATTGTACAGGAAATTGAATTTTGCGTTTACCTCTAGTATTCATATATTCTGTTTTCCATTTTAGATGAAATATCACTCAAATCACTCTAAAGAAAAATAGTCCATATCATCTATAAAAATGTCATTTTAGAGTAAGACTTTAAGGGTTATAAAGAATTATTGTAAAAGTAAAATGATTTGGATGAAAAAACGATGCTATATTTTCGTTTCTAAGAGGGCGGGGCAAGGGTACATTATAACTGGGAAAGCAGGTAAGAAAATCATTCATTCGGGGAAAAAAATATATATATTCTGATTTTGCATCTATTGTTATCTGATTTGATAGATCCTGCAGCAATGATTATGGAGGTACATGGTCACATTTTTTTTTATTTTCATTTTTTGTCATTATGGTTTATATGCAAAACCATCATACTTCCGCCACATCATTAACACTTAAATTAGCACCATTGCAACGGCAGAATCGATTTATCTATCGGTCTTTTGTGAGAGATAAGGCATCCTTTCATATAACTTAAGCATTGATCTCCCTCACCGATTCACAAAGCAAACAAACAAACAAACAAACTAATCCTCTAAGTCAGCTAGATGATTTTTTAAAAAGCTTAATGTTAAACTGACAAAAACCTTGTTTAATTTTCCACACTTCCCTTAGTGTTATCTGAACGTCCTGTGGAATGGTTTGATTCCCTGTTGTTATAACCAGTGTGGAACAACAGATACGCTATTGTTTCTATAACAGTTTCTGTGAATGGATTTGGGATTTATAGCGTCACTGAAATACATCCAAAATGTGCGATAAATAACTTTCAAATGGCATTATTGGAATTATAATTAAACCGAAACAAGAGGACCGAAGAATTACATAAAGTCGATTCGCTTTGATTTTATAAAGGATGCCTGTGACAAATTTAAAATAAGATACATTAAGTTTCTCTTTACATTTAATAAACGACGGCATAAGGTGTTCACATGCTCGCACATTGGCTCAAGACAGCGTGGACATCAAGGGGCTACGGTCACTACAAGGAGCCTTAATTAAATCTGAAATTATTTGAAGACTCTTTCTCTCTTACTCTCCACTTCTCTTTTTTTTCTTTCTCTCTATTTCTCACCCTCTCTCTCTCTCACTCTCACTCTCACTCTCACTCTCACTCTCACTCTCACTCACTCTCACTCTCACTCTCTCTCTCTCTCTCTTTGAACCCTTTCGGAAAAATTTCTCTTTGTGTTCCTATTTATGTAAAAACTCCAATACCAATATTTCAAAATTTATCCTCAACCCTTTCGGAAATACTCCAAGACAATACCCTCTCACTTTTATTTTTATGTATTGTCATTAGAGTTTACGCATTTAAACATAAAAAACAAGTAACTCTTAAAAACACCGTCTTGAAAGAAGAGATATGGGGTACACGATATTTAAAGAGCACATACTTAATCTCTCTCTCTCTCTCTCTCTCTCTCTCTCTCTCTCTCTCTCTCTCTCTCTCTCTCTCTCTCTCTCTCTCTCTCTCTCTCTCTCGCCTTCTTCCTTGGTCTTTCCTCGCCTCAATGTATTTGGAAATCAGACAAATCGAATCCTTAAATTCCTTAGCTTGTTTCGACCCGAAGCAATTGCCGTCGCTAGGGTAAGGTTATAGATATTACTGTGTTACTTTTAATGCTTACTTACGAGCATTGTGACCTGTGGGAAGAGAGGTGATAAAGATGTTGTAGAAAGACAGAAATAAATACAAATAAAACTTACACCGTGTTTCATATCCTATCATCGAGTTACGGAGTATTAAATACATTTATTTCCTCTTTACGATGACACGGTCGGATTAAATGAAGAATTTAGACTGAATGCGTAACGACAATAGAGGACCGTGTGTGTGTGTGTGTGTGTGTGTGTGTGTGTGTGTGTGTGTGTGTGGTGTGTGTGTGTGTGTGTGTGTGTGTGTGTGTGTGTGTGTGTGTGTGTGTGTGTGTGTGTGTGCGTGCGTGCGTGCGTGCGTGCGGTGCGTGCGGTGCGTGCGTGCGTGCGTGTGCGTGGCGTGTGTCCATTATCCGTATGCTCCAAGGATTTCGTAATAATGTGTATAGTATAAGAGCCACTTCGCTATTCAGAGAAGCTTAGTGTGAATGTTGTGCACATCAAATGACCCTTTTAAAATGCCACTGACAGTACATCGCTGATACACACATGGGCTGGAAATAAAGCGTAGTACAAAGGGAAATAATTTGTGAATTTCATGATCACCGTAAAAATATTAATTTCATGCATGTTATACATTGGTATCACTACAATGAAGTTACATTCATTCAAGTTAAAAGTAAATGGTTTTCAAAAATATTTCAGAAAATATATAGATCACAGATATTGCACTTTGAACTTTTGACAAAATGACAATAGAATGAATTTTACGGCATATAATATGCGGCACAGAAAACGTAATTATTATTATTTTTCAAAAATAGTAGATTTCCATTAATTTCTCTTTTTCCTAGCAAAAAGAGTCATATCATTTTACGAGTTAAAATCAATCGTTCCCAATCTTTATTACTTTACAATCATTACTATTTCCAAATATGATTATTTATATTCATAATCATTACCAATCATGATTACTTTAATTCTTTTGATCATTTCCAATCATTAAAATTTTCAAATAACTATTTTTCAACCATTGTCATTCCCAATCACCATTTTTTCCCAATCACAATTTTCCAACGATTATTATTTTCCAATCATTCATAGCCCCGATTACCACTAATTCAATAATGTTTACTCTCCAATCATCCCTATTCCCAATTATCATTTTCCAATCCTTTTTATTCTCCAATCATCCCTATTCCTAATTAACATTTTTCCAATCATGTTTACTCTCCAATCATCCCTATTCTCAATTATCATTTTTTCCAATCACTTTTACTCTCCAATCATCCCTATTCCCAATTAACATTTTTCCAGTCATGTTTACTCTCCAATCATCCTTATTCCCAATTATATTTTTTTCCAATCCTTTTTATTCTCCAATCATCCCTGTTCCTAATTAACATTTTTCCAATCATGTTTACTCTCCAATCATCCCTATTCTCAATTATCATTTTTCCAATCACTTTTACTCTCCAATCATCTCTA